TGGGGAACATGACTTATGAGGAGAGACTGAGGGAACTGGAGTTATTTAGTCTGCAAAAGAGAAGTGTGAGGGAGGATTTGATAGCAGCCTTCAACTACCTGAAAGGGGGTTCCAAAGAGGATGGAGCTCGGCTGTTCTCAGCTGTGGCGGATGACAGAACAAGGAGTAATGGTCTCAAGTTGCAGTGGGGGAGGTCTAGGTTGGATATTAGGAAACATTATTTCACTAGAAGTGTGGTAAAGCACTGGAATGAGTTACCTAGGGAGGTGGTGGAATCTCCATCCTTAGAAGTTTTTAATGCCTGGCTTGACAAACCCCTGGCTCGGATGATTTAGTTGGTGTTGGTTCTGCTTTGAGCAGGGGATTGGACTAGATGACTTCCTGACGTCTCTTCCAACCATAATATTCTATGATTCTATGACCTTTTCATAAACAAACTAGGGAAATACAACCTAGATGGAACTACTATAAGGTGGGTGCATAACCGTTGGAAAATCGTTCCCAGAGAGTAGTTATCATTGGCTCACAGTCATGCCGGAAGGGCATAACAAGTGGGGTCCCGCAGGGATCAGTTCTGGGTCTGGTTCTGTTCAATATCTTCACCAGTGATTTAGATAATGGCATAGAGAGTACACTTATAAAGTTTGTGGATGACACCAAGCTGGGAGGGGTTGCAAGTGCTTTGGAGGATAGGATTAAAATTCAGAATGATCTGGACAAATTAGAGAAATGGTTTGAAGTAAATAGGATGAAATTCAATAAGGACAAATACAAACTACTCCACTTAGGAAGGAACAATCAGTTGCACACATACAAAATGGGAAATGACTGTCTAGGAAGGAGTACTGCGGAATGGGATCTGGGGCGTCATCTTGGATCCAGGGCCGTCCTTAGGATTTATGGGGCCATACGCAGTATTATTAAACTGCTGCCCCTATGCCCGATGGCAGGAAAGGATACCGAGATGCCCGGCTCGCCTCACGGCGGTGGAGACTCACAGTCCCTCGCAGAGATCCCCGGACCCTCCGCCTCACGCAGAATGCACGGTGCCGGCACATTCGGCTCTGTGAATATGGCCCCTGCCTAAGGACACTGCAGCGCATGCTGGGTGTGCGGGAGCTGACCCGCTCTTACCTGCTGTCATGGGCGGTGCGTGAAGCTGCTGCTTGGGGAGGCTAGCTCCCCAGCCCACCTCTTCTGCCTGTGGCCCCGCCCATACTCCACCCCTGCTCTGCCCCAGGCCCTGCCCCTCTCCACTGTCTCCCTCCTCTCTTCCCTCCCCCTCCTGGCTCATCCCCTTCCAGCCAAATCCCTGAACCCAAATGAAGCAAATGACATTAGAAAGAAATTGCATAAGAGTGGGGGGGGGGTTTCAAAAGAAAATGGAGCATGTTTTCTACTGCATGCCAGAAGGTGAAGACTGGACATGCGGAAGGTACCTAATTAAAAGCACTAAATTTAGGAATAAAAAATGTCAGTCTCAGGTATTTTGTTATACCCTGAAGTTTGTCAGAGATTTATTTGAAAAAACTTTGTAGTAAGGGCAAGTCAGCTGTCCTGCCGAATACAACATTAAATATTATGGAATACATGATGCAGCTCTTCTCTGTTTTACATTTTCTTAATCAGTATTTCTACGCTCATTTTATTTTTTAAATATACTCTTAAGCCTTCATAAAGTTATCATTCCAGATGACTACATATTTAACTCACTGAAACAAAGACATTATTTTAAATTAATCAGTCACTGAGGTTTAGTGTGTTCATAACAATGTTCATTGCTTTTAGAGAAAGGGAAAACTAATTTACTTTGTGTGATCTCCATAACAACAGACACGTTTATGAAATTTCACCAACTTCAAAAAATATGTTTCCAAAGATTTTAGGCATAACAAAGGATTTTATATCTTACTAAGGTACTGATTTTGCTGGAGGGTTCTCGTAAAACTAGTTCATCAAATGATAGCTCAGTGGTTTGAGCATTGGCTTACTAAACCCAGGGTTGTGAGTTCAATCCTTGTAGGGGGCCATTTAAGGATCTGGGGCAAAAATTGGGGATTGGTCCTGCTTTGAGCAGGGGGTTGGACTAGATGACCTCCTGAGGTCCCTTCCAACCCTGATATTCTATGATTCTATGAAATAGTCAGAAGTAAAGAAAGGGAAACTCATTTGTCCAGCTATCTGGAAGGAAAGGGGTGTTGTCCCTTTAAGAGCTAGCCTCTCTTCAATGGGGGAGGGGGAGGGAGAAAGGGATGGACAGGAAGTAAGTTTTTTGTACTATAGTAATTAAAATTAGAATGTGTATTTTAGATAAGAGTGGTCGTTTGAAGGATTTATTTAAAAAACTAGATGTCTGATGATCCAAGCATTTAAAGCTAAAGATGAATACTCAGATTGTGGATCTAAAAATCTATGCAGGGATTCTTTAGAGATGTGATTTTATAATCTTCAGCAATCTTGTAATGAAATATTTTTAAAGCAAATTTTAAACTAAGGTCCTGTAGACTAACATGTTCTGAGTAAATATTACAGTAATGCACAACTGTTTTTGTCAGTAAATTCAGAAACTGACAGTATATACCTAGGGGTTGGCAAATGCCTGTTAAATGGCTTCATTACCACTTGAATGGCTCTTTAACAGTTTCAATGTTGTGCTAATAGGTCTGGCAGACTGGAGGCTTTTTCATTTTAAGTTACTAGATCCCTTCTGGAGTAAGAGTCACCAGGCTGCAGCAGCTGCAGGAAGGGTCAGAACAGGGATAGGAAGAGGCAGAAGGGTGGACACTAAGCCCCAGCAGTGCCCCAAATTTTCAGGTGCCCTACACAGCCTTGTATGTTGCGTATGCCTTAGGACAGCCCTGAGTGGATCACAAGCTAAATTTGAATGAACAGTGTAACGCTGTTGCAAAAAAAGCAAACATCATTCTCGGATGCATTATCAAGGAGTATTGTAAGCAAGACACGAGAAGTAATTCTTCCGCTCTAGTCCACGCTGATTAGGCCTCAACTGGAGTACTGTGTCCAGTTCTGGGCACCAAATTTCAGGAAAGATGTGGATAAATTGGAGAAAATCCAGAGAAGAGCAACAAAACTGATTAAAGCTCTAGAAAACATGACCTATGAGGGAAGGTTGAAAAAATTGGGTTTGTTTGGTCTGGAGAAGAGAAGACTGAGAGGGGACATGATAACAGTTTTCAAATACATAAAAGGTTGTTACAAGGAGGAGGGAGAAAAATTGTTCTTCTTCACATCTGTAGAAAGGGCGGTTTAGGTTGGACATTAGGAAAAAATTCCTAACTGTCAGGGTGGTTAAGCACTGGAATAAATTGCCTAGGGAGGTTGTGGAATCTCCATCATTGGGGATTTTTAAGAGCAGGTCGGACAAACACCTGTCAGGGATGGTCTAGATAATACTTATTCCTGCCGTGAGTGCAGGGGACTGGACTAGATAACTTCAAGGTCCCTTCCAGTTCTATGATTCTATGGACTATGGGTGACCATTTATAATATGGTTACCAATGTTACAAAATTTCAATGAATCTTACCAGATATGCCATGTAAGGTATCAGTCGAAAAGTTACGATTTGTAAGTATGATAATCTTGTTAAAATGTATGTATTGTCTTTGCATCGTGAGTTATAAATGTGTGATATGTCTGTGCTGTGTTTCTGGGTGACACCCCCGGACAGATTGGCATCAGCACTATCCAGTCTGTTTGGTGGCCCATTGAGGGTAATCACCTATACCAGTGTTTCTCAAACTGGGATCTGCAAGGGCATTCCAAGGGGTCCACAGGCCCCGCTGATCAAGTCCTCCACCTCCCTCCCAGTGCCTTCTGCATGCTGGGGAACAGCTGTTCAGCGGCATGCAGGAGGCGCTGAGAGGGAGGGGGAGGGGGGGGATGGGGTACGCTCGGGGGAGGGGGCAGAAAGACACAGGGAAGAGGAGGAGCAGGGGTGGACCGGGGGCGGGAAGAGGTGGGGTGGGGCCTTAGGGGAATAGATGGAATGGGGGTGGGGCCTGGGGCTGAGCAGGGGGTTGGAGGTCTGCGAAAAATTTTAAATTAAAATGGGGGTCCTCAGGTTCCTAAAGTTTGAGAATCGCTGAGCTCTAGAATGAACACATTGAGAGAAGCCAGGGGCTATGCCCAAGAGTCAGCAGGACATGTAGGGACATGCCTATGAACAGGGGACTCCAAGTACCTTTCCATGCCCATGTGCTGTGATCTTCTCTTTGGGACAGAGGAAGTACAAGCCACATGGAAAAGGATAGAAAAAGGCAGCTGCATCACCTCCATTTTGTCTTCAATCCTGCTTCTCACCTCTGGAGTGACTTCTCGACAAACTGAAGCTTTGAACAGAGGTCTGATAGACCCATCTAAGCTTTGGGTGTGTTCCAGAGGGACTTTACAAACCAGCAAACTCACCAACGCTGCTAAGAACCTGATATATGGATCTTGAAGTCATATGTATCGGATTGCTTTGATCATTTAACAACTCTCTTCACTTTCTTTTCCTTTCATTTATAATAAAACCTTTAGTTTTAGAAACTAAAGGATTGGCTGGTAGCTTGGTATTTTGGGTAAGAGCCAAACTAATATTGACCTGGCAATGTGGCAGTCCCTTTGGGGATCAGACGAACATTTTGTTAAGTGAATAGCATTTTAAGCAACTTCTCGCTTTACTGGACCTATCTGCTGATTGGGAGCCAGAGACGGGAATTCAATAAAGGGGGCTGTGTGATTTCTTTTTTTCAGCTTCTCGGTAACCAGTGTTGGGGATCCAGAGCACAGATTGTGACTGGTTGGTGATTCTAACTACACTGTTATCCACCAGATCACAATCCCAGCCCAGCCCACTTGACCCTGACCGATCCTGTGTGGCCACAGATTATACCCTGAGGTTCCTACTCAGCGGTCATTCAGGCAAAATTCCCATTGATTTTGTCCAAGTAAGGAACTCAGAGTCCAGCCCTTTGATCTGAGTCTGACAGTGAGATACCTCCATTCCGGTGGGACCCATCAGGAGTGCGAAGCTAGAGAGATGGTCACAGCTGCAGATGGTGTGAGTGCTGTTCATCTGGAGACTTTTGCAGCCACCCTCAGCGCAGGTGCCTTTCCCAGCGATGAATTTCCAGTGAACGCAGCGAGTCTCTTCCTCCTCTTTCTTTGCCGGGAAACCAAAACACCATCCTCCTCCTCACTGGATCAAGGGGAGAATACTGTTTCTTTTGTCACACATCTCTAAATAGACAGTAATAAACCTGAAGTCACCAATGGCTTCATGGCTCTCATTGTGCTGCACGTAACAGCCATTTGGGACTTCCAATTGGCAGTGGAAATACAAGCGAGATCCTCCAGCTCCAATAGCACAAACCTCTTGTGATGCTGTCAGGGTTCCCTCCCCACTCTGAAATCTAGGGTACAGATGTGGGGACCCGCATGAAAGACCCCCTAAGCTTATTCTTACCAGCTTAGGTTAAAACTTCCCCAAGGCACAAATTCTTTGCCTTTGGAGGGTACGCCGCCACCACCAAGTGATTTAACAAAGAATCAGGGAAAAGACCACTTGGAGAATATCCCCCCAAGCCCTTACACCTCTTTTCCTGGGGAGGCTTGAGGATAATATCCTAACCAATTGGTTACAAAGTGATCACAGAGCCAAACCCCTGGGTCTTAGGACAATAGAGAAATCAGTCAGGTTCTTAAAAGAAGGATTTTATTTAAAAAAAAAGGTAAAAATCACCTCTGTAAAATCAGGATGGAAAATAACTTTACAGGGTAACAAAAGATTCAAAAACACAGCAGAACTTCCTCTAGGCTTCGTTTCAAAGTTACAAAAAACAGGAATAAACCTCCCTCCAGCAAAGGAAAAATTCACAAGCAGAACAAAAGATAATCTTAGACGCCTTGCCTGGCTTTTACTTACAATTTTTGTAATATGAGAGACTTTTAGGATGGTTTATAGGAGGAGTTTTCTGACCTGATGCTTCTCTGCTTCCCAAGAGAACACACATAAAACCAAAGCCTTCCCGCCCCACCCCAAGATTTGAGAGTATCTTCTTTCCCCACTGGTTCTTTTGGTCAGATGCCAACCAGGTTATTTGAGCTTCTTAACCCCTTACAGGTAAGGAGGAATTCTAGGCTGCCCTTATCTGTATGGTTATGACAGATGCAGCAAGGAGTGGGGAGTACTGACCTGGGAATGTTGCAGGGGAGTTTTACTGGGACTGTCTGCATTGGGGATGGGAGACTTTCCTTGAGGGAAGATACCTGAGCATGTAACATGAGAGCCCGGGAGGGGGGTTGGGGCCAGGTGACACCTTCTGCCCAGGAAACTGGTCAAAGGCTGGAGGAGGGGGGTGTGAGATGGCTGTAGGGGGTTTCAGTTTGGAGCTGGCTGGGGAAACAGAGGGAGCCCCGGGACTGGGGTCTAAGCTCCCTGCCCCACAGAAGGACTTGACTGAGGGGTCCGTTTTGTACCTACCAGCTCTGTTTGGGACTGTGTTCCTGTTGTCCAATAAACCTTCTGTTTTACTGGCTGGCTGAGAGTCACAGTGAATTGCAGGAAGTGGGGGTACAGGGCCCTGACTCCCCCACACTCCGTGACACCCCTGACCCCAGAGCTGAAATGGTAATTCCCTTAACTCTGAGTACTGTTGGGTCTATAGCACACAATTGTACAGTTCCGATTTGAGCCATTAAAAGGCATTCTTACACCCACCCACAAATATCCACATGCACTCTATCAAGTTCATTACTTTATCAAAGAAGGCACCATCTCATGCTGCTTCCCTGAACTCTGCTATCTATAGGGCAGAGGTCCCCAAACAGTAGGGTGCACCCCCCTAAGGAGACATAGAGGAACCTTCAGAGGGACATGACAAGTCTCGGGTCAGGCCCCATGTGGGGCAGAGAGGGAGCACCATCCAGCCCTTCCCCACCCTGAGCTCTGCTCTGGTCCCACCTGTAGCCACATACCCAACTTCCAGCCCCATGCCTGGCACCATTCCCAACCTCAGCATGTCTCCACTCCCAGTCCCAGCCCCTTGCGGCTCCATTCCTGGCCTTCCATTTATTCCTGCTCTGAGGGGTGAGCCAGGCACAGTTGTTATTCCTGAGCATTTTACATGATTAATCATAATCAGGCCTGGTGTGAACCCTATGTAATGTTCTCCATCAAAACAGCCCCAGCGTCAGGACTGAAGAAGCTCCCTCTCTTTCTCAGATAACTGTTTCTCAGTCCAGAAAGGCAGCAGAACTCAAATGCCCTGCAGGAGACGCACCTTTCAAGTGACCAGCTGGAGTCCCGGGCACACAGCAAAGTAAAAGGATCTACACTCACCTGTCTATGGCGCAGGGTGAAATTCACAGGTTTGGAGAGGTTCATGGGCCTCCCATCTCCGATAGCCCCACTCACCACCCTGGAATTCAGGTGAAAATTCCTCAATTTCTCATCAGCCATTAGATCTCCCTCATCGAGAAATGTCGTGTTAATGATGGAGTCCAGGGTGGAGTAAGAAATAAAAGCAACAGCCCAAGGATCAGAAAGAATGAAATGGTGACTCATCATAGAGACAGGGACACTGAGACAAAGAAAGAACAAGCCACGTGCCAAAGGTCACAGCGAGTCTGGGGCAGAGCTGGGAAAAGAACCCAGGAGTCCTGGCTAGCATTTTGAGCTTTAACCACTCGAATATGTTGCCTCCTCCCTCTTCTTCCACAGAAGCACTTCTGTGTTGGAAACATCTGGCGTGCACTATGGAAGTGTGATTCCTAAAGTGCACTAACGTACATTAAAGCACACTAGGGAATCTTTAGTGCACACTAGTAGGGTCTATACAGACCAATTAATGCACAGTTAGTTAGTGCTCTTTAAAAATCGTATCCCCATACTGCACATTATCCAGCTCGGTACACAGCCCTAGGTGAAAGGCACTGAGGTGAAGCCATAGTTTTTCTTGGTTAGGAGAGACAGAGGGGATGGTTAGTGAGGAGCTTTCCCTGGGGCTAAAGAATTAAGAATCAGTCCCAGTTACATCATACTGGCCTGAAAATTGGAGTAAAATTGGTCAATATTATCCTGGTTCCATTCCAGGAAGTCACACACGTCAACCTGGGGCCAAGCTGGGCTCATCATCAGGACATCATGTGTTGGGCCAACGGATCTCTGATCTTTCCATTCTCCGGACCAATTCATATGCCCATCAAAGCTTCTCTCTCCTCCCTGCCCCACATGGGTTGGTTTTCATGCTGTGGGACAGCCAGGAATGAAGGGCTCTGCAGAGCTCAACGGCCTGAGAAACACTGGCTCAGCCAACAAGGTCCACGCTAGTGTCAGGATAACAAAGGCAAGCAAGCCAGTGTGGGGCGAGAGGAAGGGGAGAACTAGGGCCAGGGTTTGGTGTCTAAAGGGGTGAGTGCCTGGGAAGCACCAGGATGGTACCTTCTGTGGCTGCTCTGGTGACGGCATTGCAGTGAATGTCCATTGTCTCCTCCTGACCTCTCAGCCTGAAGACCTCATCACAGCGACCTGCAGCTCGGACGAGGAGCGTCTCGATAGCTGTGGAGGGAAATGGCAACGCCTCTTGCTGCAAGGGCAAGGCAGGTTTGGAGCTCCACTATCTCTGAATCCCACCACCCCTCCCGCTTCCTCCTCACCCCCATCTTTCTGTGTTTCCCTGAGCCCCTCTGGCTGACCTTCTGTGATCCATCATGCCTGCGCCCCCATGAAGATGCCACTGTGCCAAGAGGCAGAAGGCAACTTCTCCCTGCTGCCTCACCTCTGCGCTTTAGCAGGGGAAGCAGCAAGAAGGGGTATTGCTGCGACAGGGAGTGAAAGGAGGAACTAATGGCAGCTGCCTGTGGCGACAGGAGATTGGCATTGCTTTTAAACCCCTCTCAGGCAGCTGCCATTGCTGCAAAGCCCCAGGGCTGGGTTTATGGGTGGTGGGTAGCATAGGCCGGGGAAGGCTGTGCCTCCCTAAACAGCCTGGCATGGCCCAGTCCATGCTTTGCCCCCAGGCTCCCTCCTGCCTGCTTCCAGTTCCCTTCCGACTCTTCCATGGCTGAGAGGCTGGGGCAGGCAGGCTGGGGCCGGTGCTCACAAGGCCCAGGGCTGGGGCACTGGGGCCGGGGCCATGCTGCTCCCACTGTGCTGCCCGCCTGGTGCTCCGGGGCTGGTGTAGCGTGGGGTGCAGGCGGGACGGGTTGCTCTCGGCTCCATTGGAAGAGAGGGGGTGGAAGGGACCTATGGCAGAAAGGGAGGGGCCGGGGGCTAGCCTCTCTCAATGGCTCGTTCTCCTACCACCCATGGCTGGGTTATAAACCCTGAGAGAGGGGCAGTGAGGCTGCAGTGGTGTTCTGCACTGAAAAGAGTATAACCCCCATCTCACAGCTGCCACGAGGCGATGTGGGAGCCTCTCATCCTCCTCACCCATAAACTCTGTTGTCATGTTCTGGGTCTTCTTCTCTGGAGACCACAAAGCAGCCGTCAGTGCAGCCAATTCCACACTCTGCAGGAGGAAGGTCACGGCGGAGGCCACCTCCCTCTTGCTCTCGTTCCCACCAGCACTGAGGATGGAGCTATTCAGGAAGGAACCAAAGGGGAGAGCAACTTCCTGGGTTTGGGAAAGGAAACACCCTGAGAAGGACGGAGGATTTCAGTGGTTCATGAGCCACTTTCTTCAGACTCCCAGGGGAACAATGACCCTCTTAGGGACATACGGGTTCATAGTGACCTTCCCACTCAGAGGGACTGCAGCATTCTCAAAGAGGGAGCCCTTTACTGAGCGAGTGAGGCTACTGAGGCTTGCTCAGGACTTCACAGTAACCTGAAGCCAGGGTACGTCTAACACCATGTGTCATTCGCTCCTCATCCCTGGTCCCTTCAGTGTAGGTGCCAGAGAACATTACAACCAATCAGCAGACATCTCGGTTCTCTCTGTGTTGCCCCCGGAAGCAATTTGAATCTTCCTAGGACCAGTGGGGACAGAACCCAGATCCCCTGCCACTTCAGCTAGAGATCATTCACATGCGCTCACACACCCCTTTTCTGAAGAACAGCTACAATTTCTCCCAAAGTGAGAGGGCTATACCAATGCGCAGGGCATTTGGCCATGGAGCGCCCACCCACGTAGGGGCAGAACCTCTAACCTCCAGCGATGCTGCTCTGTCCTCTGCACACATGGTCTCCAAATTCACTAAGGTTGAATTCATGAAGGAGCAAAATTCACTGGTGTTGCCCTGCAGAACAATCAGAGGAAATGGGTTATTTCTACAAACATGGAAAGGCCACCCAAAATTAAGGTAAATGGTTCCTCATCATGATCTTGCTTTGACATATGGTTGGCTGGCTGTCCCACTACAATGCCCACAGATTAAGACATGTTAAGGCTAAGTGTGCTGAAGCCCACAGACATGCTGATATTTCACATAGTATTGAAGGGTTTCAGAGTAACAGCCGTGTTAGTCTGTATTCGCAAAAAGAAAAGGAGTACTTGTGGCACCTTAGAGACTAACCAATTTATTTGAGCATGAGCTTTCGTGAGCTACAGCTCACTTCATCGGATGCATACCGTGGAAACTGCAGCAGACTTTATATATACACAGAGAATATGAAACAATACCTCCTCCCACCCCACTGTCCTGCTGGTAATAGCTTATCTAAAGTGATCATCAGGTTGGGCCATTTTCAGCACAAATCCAGGTTTTCTCACCCTCCACCCCCCCACACAAATTCACTCTCCTGCTGGTGATAGCCCATCCAAAGTGACAACTCTTTACACAATGTGCATGATAATCAAGTTGGGCCATTTCCTGCACAAATCCAGGTTCTCTCACCCCCTCATCCCCCTCCCAAAAACCACACACACAAACTCACTCTCCTGTTGGCAATAGCTCATCCAAACTGACCACTCTCCAAGTTTAAATCCAAGTTAAACCAGAACATCTGGGGGGGGGGGTAGGAAAAAACAAGGGGAAATAGGCTACCTTGCATAATGACTTAGCCACTCCCAGTCTCTATTTAAGCCTAAATTAATAGTATCCAATTTGCAAATGAATTCCAATTCAGCAGTTTCTCGCTGGAGTCTGGATTTGAAGTTTTTTTGTTGTAAGATAGCGACCTTCATGTCTGTGATTGCGTGACCAGAGAGATTGAAGTGTTCTCCGACTGGTTTATGAATGTTATAATTCTTGACATCTGATTTGTGTCCATTTATTCTTTTATGTAGAGACTGTCCAGTTTGACCAATGTACATGGCAGAGGGGCATTGCTGGCACATGATGGCATATATCACATTGGTGGATGTGCAGGTGAACGAGCCTCTGATAGTGTGGCTGATGTTATTAGGCCCTGTGATGGTGTCCCCTGAATAGATATGTGGGCACAATTGGCTACGGGCTTTGTTGCAAGGATAAGTTCCTGGGTTAGTGGTTCTGTTGTGTGGTATGTGGTTGTTGGTGAGTATTTGCTTCAGATTGCGGGGCTGTCTGTAGGCAAGGACTGGCCTGTCTCCCAAGATTTGTGAGAGTGTTGGGTCATCCTTTAGGATAGGTTGTAGATCCTTAATAATGCGTTGGAGGGGTTTTAGTTGGGGGCTGAAGGTGACGGCTAGTGGCGTTCTGTTATTTTCTTTGTTAGGCCTGTCCTGTAGTCGGTAACTTCTGGGAACTCTTCTGGCTCTATCAATCTGTTTCTTTACTTCCGCAGGTGGGTATTGTAGTTGTAAGAAAGCTTGACAGAGATCTTGTAGGTGTTTGTCTCTGTCTGAGGGGTTGGAGCAAATGCGGTTGTATCGCAGAGCTTGGCTGTAGACGATGGATCGTGTGGTGTGGTCAGGGTGAAAGCTGGAGGCATGCAGGTAGGAATAGCGGTCAGTAGGTTTCTGGTATAGGGTGGTGTTTATGTGACCATTGTTTATTAGCACTGTAGTGTCCAGGAAGTGGATCTCTTGTGTGGACTGGACCAGGCTGAGGTTGGTGGTGGGATGGAAATTGTTGAAATCATGGTGGAATTCCTCAAGGGCTTCTTTTCCATGGGTCCAGATGATGAAGATGTCATCAATATAGCGCCAGTAGAGTAGGGGCTTTAGGGGACGAGAGCTGAGGAAGCGTTGTTCTAAATCAGCCATAAAAATGTTGGCATACTGTGGGGCCATGCGCGTACCCATAGCAGTGCCGCTGATCTGAAGGTATACATTGTCCCCAAATGTGAAATAGTTATGTGAAAAGTCACAAAGTTCAGCCACCAGGTTAGCCGTGACATTATCGGGGATAGTGTTCCTGACGGCTTGTAGTCCATCTTTGTGTGGAATGTTGGTGTAGAGGGCTTCTATATCCATAGTGGCCAGGATGGTGTTATCAGGAAGATCACCGATGGATTGAAGTTTCCTCAGGAAGTCAGTGGTGTCTCGAAGGTAGCTGGGAGTGCTGGTAGCGTAGGGCCTGAGGAGGGAGTCTACATAGCCAGACAATCCTGCTGTCAGGGTGCCAATGCCTGAGATGATGGGGCGCCCAGGATTTCCAGGTTTATGGATCTTGGGTAGTAGATAGAATCTCCCAGGTCGGGGTTCCAGGGGTGTGTCTGTGCGGATTTGATCTTGTGCTTTTTCAGGAAGTTTCTTGAGCAAATGCTGTAGTTGCTTTTGGTAACTCTCAGTGGGATCATAGGGTAATGGCTTGTAGAAACTCGTGTTGGAGAGCTGCCGAGCAGCCTCTTGTTCATATTCCGACCTATTCATGATGACAACAGCACCTCCTTTGTCAGCCTTTTTGATTATGTCAGAGTTGTTTCTGAGGCTGTGGATGGCATTGCGTTCCGCATGGCTGAGGTTATGGGGCAAGTGATGCTGCTTTTCCACAATTTCAGCCCGTGCACATCAGCGGAAGCACTCTATGTAGAAGTCCAGTCTGCTGTTTCGACCTTCAGGAGGAGTCCACCTAGAATCCCTCTTTCTGTAGTGTTGGTAGGGAGACCTCTGTGGATTAGTATGTTGTTCAGAGGTATTTTGGAAATATTCCTTGAGTCGGAGACGTCGAAAATAGGATTCTAGGTCACCACAGAACTGTATCATGTTCGTGGGGGTGGAGGGGCAGAAGGAGAGGCCCCGAGATAGAACAGCTGCTTCTGCTGGGCTGAGAGTATAGTTGGATAGGTTAACAATATTGCTAGGTGGGTTGAGGGAACCATTGCTGTGGCCCCTTGTAGCATGTAGTAGTTTAGAAAGTTTAGTGTCCTTTTTCTTTTGTAGAGAAGCAAAGTGTGCGTTGTAAATGGCTTGTCTAGTTTTAGTAAAATCCAGTCACGAGGAAGTTTGTGTGGAAGGTTGGTTTTTTATGAGAGTATCCATTTTTGAGAGCTCATTCTTAATCTTTCCCTGTTTGCTGTAGAGGATGTTGATCAAGTTTTCAAAAGCACTTTGTGTTGGACTGATTCTGCTCCCACTGAAGTCAGTGGTAAACCTTGGATAAGCAGAGAATCCTCAGGCTCAAAGTTTTCTGTGTACTCTTTGTGAAAACCCTCAAAGCCCAAATAAACCCCTTACAAGTACCTGCTGAAAGACATCTTTGCACATCTTCAACTGCTCTTTTACCTGTTGAGTTTCAGTCTGGCATTTAAAGGTAACATCTAGCAACAGAAAGAGAGGCACGGACAATTACATCAAGTCAACATCTGCAGGGCTAAGGTTTTCAAAAGTGTCTCGTGATTTCAGACATCTTAAAAGGGCCCTGACTTTCAAAAGTGCTGAGCACTCACCCTCTGAAAATCAGGCCCCTTTAAGGTCTCAAGTTAGGCAACCAAAATCACAAGGCAATTTTGAAAATCTTGGCCTAAGTGATACACCTAAGACCACACTCACACGGACTCTATGACAGAGCTGGGAATGGAAGCTTGATCACTTGAGTCCTAGCCTAGCATTTTAGCCACAAGGGCCATCCTTTCTTCCTTCCAGAATGCAAAGTTGATGATCTCCTGAAACCCAGCAGGTGTTTTCTCCCTTTAACTCCATTGATCCCTTAAGCCCCATCTGACAACTTTCAACTGAGTTTATAATCAGTTAGCAATACATTCAGCCCTAAAAGCCTGGTGTGTGTCCACACATCACCTGGTTAATACTCACTTAAGCTTTGTCTGTGTGTCTCAGAGATCAGTGTGTCTTATGTGTCCTCTGGGGCTGCTCCACCAAGAGTCTGGTTCTGCTACAGCTCCTAGCTATGGGAGTTCGTCCCTTAGCTCAACCAGGAGTGGCTCATGGATTTACAAGGTCCTGGGTTTGATCCTTGGGGATAACCAAGATGACTGTTACATCAATACTCGAGAATTTTCCCTTCCCAAGAACTGTTCTAACCCTGCTCTTGTACTTCTAAAAGGCCTGAGTCTCATCAAGGTATGTCTACATGACGATGGTGATGGAAGGGTTCTTCCATTGCTGTAGTAAATCCACCTCTCAGAGTTGGTAGCTAGGGCAAGAGAAGAAGTCTTCTGTTGATCTAGTGTTGCCTACCCTGAGGCTTAGGCTGCCTTATGATTGACTGAAGTTTTAGGTGTTGAGCAGGCCTCAGTTACACTAAAAGCCTTACGTTGCTCTGGCCTGGAAAAGGCGGTTCAAGTGGCTGGAAAAGGCTTCTAAGAATGTTCCCTGCGGAGGGACCCTCCACAGCGAGTGTGGAACTGGTATAAGGGCCTTTACATGATCTTGGCTTCATCTGCAAGGCAGATCAAGGATGTGGTCAGAACATACCATGCTATAGCTACTTTCTAGTTCTCAGGGGCCATGGGAAGCAGAGGGTAAATTACAGCAACCCTGCATGGTCCCAGAATGCATAGAGCACAAAGGTGGCTCAAAGCGACCTGTTCCTCCACCATTTCTGTTCCCTGGTGCAAGCACAGGAGTGGTATAAGTAAGAATCAGGCACAAAATTCCCTTGGGTACCCAGAGGGCATCACAACCAAGTGTAGGAGGAAAAGTGCAACGGTCCTTAAACCAATTCAGACCAGCTGGCGAGCAGCTGCCTAACTGCATGAGCTGGGCGGAAACTAGTTGAGTGCAGCTAGCAACACAGGTACAATCTTAGGCCTGGACTACGCCTAAAACTTAGGTAGATCTAGCTATGTCACTCAGCGGTGTGAAAAATTCACACCCCTGAGAGACGTAGTTAAGGCGTCCAAAGCCCAGTGTCGACACCACTAGGTTGACAAAAGAATTCTTCCGTCAACCCAGATACCAGCTCTCGGTGGGGTGGATTAACTACAGTGACAGAAAAACCCCTTCGATCGCTGTACCAAGTGTCTACACGACAGTGCTTCAGAGGCACATCTGCAGCGCAGTACCTACTGCTGTAGCTTCTGTAGTAAGGACATAGCCTGAGTAACTGTGGCTAGTGGTGGCCTAGGATGGCATGCTGGGCCAAATTCTCAGCTGGTGTAACTCAATGGAGCCCCATCAAAATCAACAGACTTTACACCAGGCCCATGGTTGCCTCCCCAGTTGTGACACTGTTTTCTTTGCATCATGCACAGAAACTGTGGTCAAAATAGATTTAAAACCCAGGCTACTCACTCTTCCTGCAGGAACCTGGAGTCCCATAGCTGTCCATGGCAGCAGTGCCAACACTCAGGAGTGCGAATGGAGAGCTGGCATGTTCCACAGCATGGGATCTCATGGCAGGTCCAAGCGTACGCATGCCCCAAACGAACTCAGTGCCAGGGACTCGGTTCCACTTCACATCCCTTAGAGACTGATTGTCTAAGATGATGGCGCCAGTCTCCGATGTATTGGCCACCATCAAGGCAAAGTTCTTGAAGCCCTCCTGCTCATTTAGAGAATACATCAGGCAGTAACTGGCAACATCTGGAACATTCATCAGGAAGGCGTGGGAGGAATTAGGGATAGCTGCGCCCAGGCTGTAGAACACCACCTGGATGCTCACGTTAGCAGAGATGTAGACTGGGATTGAGGGCTTGACAGGAAGTTGGAGTACATTGCCTCCTGTTAGAGTAACATTCTCTTGCTGGTCCCCTCGTTGATACAACACAGTTGTGCTCTGGGAAGCAATGATATAGACTATGTCATCTACTTTCTGCCAGGGTAAGGGAGGAATGATGTATGTTGTACCCCAGCTGCAGACTGGTAGGAGCTGCTCAAAGACGTGGTTGCATTTTGTGCTATTACAAAAACACACTTGGCCAACCAAGACGGCCACTGGCTTTTCTGAGACAATCCTGGTGCCAGACAGATCTTCTATGCCTTGTAACTGGATGCCTTGGAAACTGAGGAGCTTAATTAAATAAAACTTTCATTTAATAAGTTTCCTTTATTTCTCTTTTAATTATATAGGGCCAGATCTTCAGCTAGTGTAAATCAGTGTAGCACCACTGATGACAACAGACCTTAGCTGATTTACAACAGATGAGGATTCTGCCCATTACCCTCAAGCTGACATCTCACTTGGCTCTTTATAGAGAGATCCAGAAACATTGTATCTCCCAATAAACATTTTATCCTCACTCCCAGAGCTCTCTCTCTGTCTCTGAGGGGAGATATTGTGAAATGCTGGGCCTCCTTCCCCTGTCCCTTACACCATATGACCACCATTGATTTCAGTGCATTTCTCCTGATTTACATTGATGTACGTGAGAAGAGAATGAGGCCCATCATTCTTAGCCTGAATGGGAGCTGGCGGCAGGGCTGGATTTAGGGGCAGGTGACACAGGCAACCACCGGTGGTGCCAGGTTTGGGGGGCCCCGGGCTCGGGGTGCTGTTTTGGTTGTTAGCGACAAAAGGGAAAACAGACTGTTTCAAGTAAAATGTTTCAGGTATTCCATACGTGGATTCATTTTTCACTAGCCTCCTAGAATGTTCTGGACCTTTATAGGATCTCATGGAACCTTCCAGATTTTCTGAGAACTACATTTTCCTCCAGCCTCCTAGAATGTTGTCAGCCATGCCCTCGTGACTATACACGGAGCAGGGCAGCACCAAGGGTTGGCAACTTTCTGATTGCACAAAACCAAACACCCTGGCCCCTTCCCCCTTCCCCAAGGCCCCGTCCCTTCCCCAAGGCCCTGCCCCCCCCCCTCACTCCAGCCTCCCTCCCTCGGTTGCTTGCTCTCCCCCACCCTCACTCACTATCACTGGGCTGGGGCAGGGGGTTGGGGTGTGGGAAGGGGTGAGGGCTCCAGCTGGGTGTGTGGGCTCCAGGGTGGGGCTGGAAATCAGAGGTTCGTGGTGCAGGAGGGGGCTCTGGACTGGGTCAGGGGGTTGGGGTGGAGGAGGGGCTGAGGGCTCTGGCTGGGGGTGTGGGCTCTGGGGTGGGGCTGGGGATGAGGGGTTTGGGATGCAGGAGGGAGCTCCGGGCTGGGGCCAAATGGTTTGGAGTGGAGGAGGATGCTCAGGGCTAAGGCAGGGCATTGGAGGGGATGCTGGATGCTGGCTCCGGGGGGGGGGGGGGAGGTTTGGGTGCGGGAGGGGGTTCCAACCTGGCGTAGGGGGTTCGGGGGTGGGGGCTCTGGCCGGGCGGTGCTTACTTCAGGCAGCTCCCAGTCGGTGGCTCAGTGGGGCTAAGGCAGGCTCCCTGCCTGCCCTTGCTCCGTGCTGCTCCCATAAGTGGCCAGCATGTTTAGCCCCTAGGCGGAGGCGCAGCCAGGTGGCTCTGCATGGTGTGTGCTGCCCACGACGACAGCCAGCACCCCCACAGCTCCCATCGGCCACAGTTCTCGGCCAATGAGAGCTGCGGCGTTGGCACTGGGAGTGGCGGCAGCACTTGGAGCTTCGCTGATTGCCGCTGTGCCTATGGGACGCACATTCCGGCTCCTTCCGGGGAGCTGCATAGAGCCAGGACAGGCAGGGAGCATGCCTTAGCCTCACTGCGCCGCCTACCAGACTTTCAATGGCCCGGTGAGTGGTGCTGTCCGGAGCTGCCAGGGTCCCTTTTCGACTGGGCGTTCCGGTTGAAAACCAGACGCCTGGCAACCCTAGTATCACCAGCTAGTCAAATGAGAGAGGGATAAATCATGCATACAAATCATGCATCAAAGTAATGACATGGGCTACAAATGTAATAAAAATAAGGCATTTAAAAGTTTAACAAATGGAGGGGGTTGAACACCATTTGGTCTAGGGCCAGACCTGGCTGCAGGTCCTCAATGCCTCTCAGGATTTAGCTCCATTTGTAGGATTTCCCAGCGCTTCTAGTTTCTACATGAAATTGATCGTGATCTCAGTTTTCATTTGCAATTCTGTAATGCTAATAGCTTCTTAAAGGGGAAGCTGTGAAAAGGACAGACCCAGAGTTACTGCTACTTCATTCTCCCTCGCTCCTTTCTGACAGACTTCCAGGGACTGCAGTCCAGTATAGGAAGTCTCCAGCTACCACTTTCTGGGCCCACTTCTGGCCTTTCAGTGTGGCCTAGTGACACTATTAAAAGACCTCTCAGTGGGACATGGCAGCAGAAAAAGGTTCTTGTTCACCATGGGACAGAGTGTGAGCAGACTAAAACTAGAATACCCTAAGGAGTGACAGAGGGAGAAAGAGGGAGTGAATGAATAAACGAGCACAGAGAAGGAGGAATTATCCCTGACACCCAATCTTCCCTGTTCTCAAAATTCTGGGTTTTCCCTTCAGGGCCTGTTTAGAACCTGAGGTGGACCCACCCCTCTGGGCATTCCGCTGCGCCTAATGACCCAGATGCAGTGAACCCCCACATTAGAGTCCAGAGAATGCTGCTGAGAGCTGCCAAGCCAATACCAGCTTCATGGCAGACACTCTATATGATACTCACGTATTATGTGTACAGAAACGTTACACAAGGCATTATGTTTCACTAACCTGAGAAGTTACCAATTCTGTTTGTCGTCTGGGCGCTTGCTGGTGGTAGAAACCAGAACAGGCCAAGGAGGAAAAACATTTGAGAGAAGATGAACAAAATTTGTTTAAAATCTAAGATATGGCAATAAACAACACAGGGAGACATTACTAAATAAAGGAGTCTAAGCACCTTTGTATGAGTCTGACCCTAATCTCAGTTACACTGGTGTCAATTTGGAATGACTCCATTGATTTACTTTTATTGGCGTTATCCTGGATTTATCCTGGGACTTAGGAGATCAGAAATACTGATCAGGGCATTGGACCTCATTGATGTGGGGAGAATGGAAGGTAGACACTGGATTTTTCCATTCTAGTCTCATCCTCTGATGCTCTGTAGGAAGCAGCTGGGAGTCTGGAGTCTGAGTAGCTTCTCAATGGCCTGAGGCAGGGTGTCAGGGAGTCACGGGGTCTGGTCTATGCCACAGCCTGTAACCAGTCCCTTTGGAGAGATCCCTTTATTGTGCTGGGACCCAAGGACCCACACAGTTCCACAGGGGCAGACCCGTGGCCTCCAAAACTAGGCCTTTAGGTGCCAGCAATCCCCATCATTTTCCATGGCTCCCTGTAGAAGGTCCAGCAGAGCCAGACTCCAGTGTGAGGTTTGTTCTTTACTCCTTCAGGGAACAATGCTCTCAGTGAGTATTTTCAGTAATGCCAGGCAGCCTTTCCAAAACAAGCTAAGAATGTATTAGCCACCTGGCCTACAGAATCCAACTGTCCTTACTTTAGCATAGAGAGGCACAGGTTAAGACATGGTCCATGCTGACCAATGCCAGGGCTCCCATGAGCCAGGCTGCTATAGGAACAAACCATCCTGGCGCTCTCTCACTGTTTCTTTTCCTTTAGTTCCAGGTGTGTTTCCTGTGTCTCTGAAAGTTCAGCTCTAAGCCCAGCCACCTGTCACCTTTCACCTTTGTTCTCCCGCTCAGTGCGTTTGGTTTGCTGCCCTGCAAGCCTCCAGGAAATCTCCTTCCTCTCAGCTGTTGGTCACAAGGAGTGAATGTCCTGGCCATTGGGGTTTCCGCTGTCTTTTCCAGACCCTCCATTCACAGGTGTAAATTTTCTTTACTTTGTTCGTTAATGACTCTGGTCTCCAGCCAGACTGTTGAGTCAAATACCACATCATATCCCTTTACGCTCAATGCACAGAAATGCAAAGGCCGGAGGGAAACTGAAGCATGCACAGGAATCATAAATCATTACCAAAATTCACACAATCACCACACAGGGCTTTCCCCCTTTGCCCTTGTCATTTGGGTTCTGTCAGATATTACCTTCTCCCATTTGTTCCTCCTGGGTCAGCATGCCCAATGCTCAGCAAGGAAACAAACACACGCCCTAGAGAGGGGCTAGATGCACCATAAGTTTGCAGGAGAGCATGTATCTTGCTAATCTGTTTAGCCAAGAGTTGGTGCTGCAGCTGCTCTCTGTCCACCTGTGAAGCCCAGCTGGTAACAGAATGTACATCTACACCGCGCAGCAGACTGCAGCAGCAGGGCTCAGAACCCAGCTCGACAGAGTCGGGCTCGGGCTCCTGTGCTAAAAGTAGCTGAGTACACAGAGCTTCTAAGTTGTGGCTTGGACTGGAGGTCAGGCTCTGAAGTCTGGGGTGGGGATGGGCCTCAGCTGGTCCAAACCAGAACTTAAAAGTGCTGACTACACCGCTCTTTTTATCATGGTAGCACAAACCCGAGTCTGTCAAGGCAGGCTTGAAGGGTCCCCGCCACATGTTATAGTTACTAGTTTAGAGTCTGGATTAATTTAGTGGCTAGCTAGGTTGATTGTGGGTAGGGAGGAGCTAGGTTTTGTTGGTTACAATAAGATACTTTGGAGAAGTTTTGGCAGGATGAACTGAAAGTTTTGTGGTAAGGCATTTTGTTCATACAGTGATTTTTTTTACTGGGACTAATGAATTTTGTATTGTTATGCTGTAATTAATTGTTGGTTGATGAGTGCTTGTTTTTTAATTTATTTTTTATTTTGTTTTTTATTAAGTTTTTTAGGGAGTTATTTTATGCTGTTTTTATTACAACTATTTTCTTTTTATTGACAGGTGCTTCTTTTATGTTTAGAGTTGTTCATTTGCTTTTTTGATATTTTAATAGGGGTGTGTTGCAATTTTTTGGAGCTTTTATGTTTGTTTGGGGTTTTTTTTTTTAGAAGATTTGGTTTGGTGATGGCTTTTATATTTATTTTTTTAATATATATATATATAATTTCATCTATGTATGAAACAGGATTGATTTACACAGAGCATTTGAACAGAAAAATTACATTGCAATGCAGGAGAAAACGATTATTGCATTTTTTTACTTACTTTAAAATGCTAAACTTACAGCAAAGTGGGGACCCTAAAGCTCTGTTGCTGCTTTGAAATCAGCTTTCAACACAGATTTTGGCGGCTGCATTTTTACTAATGGCCCATTAGGCCATTTTTTTTTACTTTTAGGAAGGGTGGCTGGCAGGATATGGTTAAATTATCTACTACTATATTGAATGCAGGCTACATTATTAATCTTTATTTTTTATTTTAAATTATACAAACTATAAACAAAAGATGTCATTACTACATTGGGTTTGATTTTTTGAGAACCATTTTTGAATGCG